TGCTGTGGTGGGAAGGGAAGGAACGACGGTTAAGGAAGCGCCGAGGCTGTGCTTTGATTACAAAGACCGGACCTAGGCGCCCAGCCAAAACAGACCGTTCACAGGCAGCTGCTTGTGAACTGGATGTCCCAAAAATGGGTCAAAATCCGTAAGTTTAGGGAGATCTGCAAAATTTAAGAGATATTAGCCCAAAAGGGGAATCCCAAAAAATGACATCACAAATTTTGTAGTTCCACTTTTAGGCAAGTTTTTCCCAAAATTTAGTTTTGCTACATTTTGTGATTGTGAGATATACTGCCAAATACACTCCTAGACTCATAAAATGAGCTTCAGTTGGCTGCCTGAAAATCATGAATTTTGACCCAATTTTCAGTATATCCACCTCTTGCAGAGCAGGGAAAATCGGAAAAATCCCGCAAAAAAGACTGCAAGCTCCTGCGACTTGCAGCAAACTTTCAGGTCATGCAAAAAGGATTCCCGCTAGCCGATTTGAACGACTGACCTCGTCATCGCATTACGTAAGCCACATGCTTATCTAATACTAGTGACGCGCTCTACCACTGAGCTAAGAGGGACTTGTCTAACTATAGCACTAAATCTTTATGATTGTCCGCGTCAACAAGCATGGCTTCCTCTTTTCTTTGCACTGAAATAAACCTTCGTGATGTTGCCTTGTTCTATTCGAATATACCTAGTAAAAATGAACTTCTGGTTGTTGTAAGGGAATAATTTTCCTAGCGGAATTTGAAGCCACCCAATATATGCGCTCGTCCACGCTGCACAATTCTTTTGCATGTGGGGGGTTTTTTTTTTGTAAACACCTTGAACCCCACCTTACTCGGTGGTTTACGAGCTCTTTTCCGCTCCATATCACTTTACTATTGTTGTAGGACGATATAGCACTGCTTCTCGGTGTTGTCTAGGCGCTGCGGTTCCTGCTCACGATTTCTGTCAGGTTTGATACTTAGCAAAATCTACCTTAGCTTAAGGAGCACTCCGGAGATCCCAGAGCAGGGGTCATGCTCGGGATCTCCTGCGAGCGTCACGAGCGCTCCGGAGCATGTGCTCCGAAAAGCCGGGGTTGCTCTAGAGCACTTCGGAGCACTCATAAGTAGTTGGAGCGGCTGGAGACACTCCCCACTATCCGGAGCGCCCCTTGAACCAAGCCAGATTTTACTAAGTACGAATTTCTTGAGATTCAGGGTGATGCGTGCCTAATATAATCAAGCGTATATGTGTGTGGAAAAACAGACTGTTTGGAGTACTTGTATGCTCTGTAGAGCCTTCGCAGCTGAGGCTTGTCTAGGTACGGCAATAGGTTGTGACTATACACCAGCCCAGACTTTGCACGAATGCCCAGCTAAGGCCGCCTTTTGGGTGTCGCTCAGTGCATTCAAGTCGCCAAGAACAAATACTTCAGTGAAAAGCTTGTTGAATGATAAGATTAACAAAGAATACATGCGACGAGTAACTGTGGTATGATATGCACAAAGCGACAAAAAGAAAATCCAAGATAAGTTTCAATCATTGGCGCAGGCGTCAGCAAACCCGTCGACTGTCACAGCCTCTCGTTCACGTTCAGCAGCGCGTTTGACACGCTCCACGTCGCGAAGAGATCGTTTCAGCTCTCGCTCCCAAAGAGCCATGGCTTCCTCCTCCTTGACACCAGCGGTACCTCCAGCCCCCGCGCTACCGAGTCCACGAAGAACGTCCTCCTCGCGTACACCTTCGGCCAGCCCCACTAGCGGTTCTCCTCCCAGACCGGCAGCCTTTCGTCGGCTTGGTGTGGCGTTGCCTGTCGTTCCAACAACAGTAATCAACCCGCCTGTCTCTAGAACGCCCAGCAGGTCTTGGAACTCGCTCCTCGACACAGGTGCGAATGCGCCATCAGAGGTGAGGATAGCAGAATATGCAGCGTGCAGCGCAGATGCCTCGTACATCTCAGCATCACCGGCTCGGCCGCGTTTGCTTGGCGATCCTGGTTGAGCTCCCCGTCCCGTCTTGCTTGGCGTTCGCGGAGCCGCCTTGCTAGGAGTACGAGTAAGGCTGTTCACCGATTTTACCGGGAGTAGGACCAGCCCGGCAGCAGCGCGACGACGAGCGACAAGAATGGAGACAAGGACGAGGCGGGCTTGCATGCCTAGCCCACGTGCGGTGCCAACCGCTTGCCCCCCTGCCAGTCCGTCGCGACCTCGAAGTGAATCGAGGACGTGCTTCATGGTCGCAACACCGGCGTTATTCATAGGTTTTGATGGACCGCCACCCAGAGTATGCAAAGGCATGGCAGGAGGAGCGAATGGGTTGACTTCACGCTCAACAAGTTCGATCGTTCGACGAACTGCATCAAAGGCTGCCCGAAGATCACCAGTTTGTGCGGCGACCTTTTTCGATAGGAACGTTAGCGCGGTGGGCGCAATAACAAGAGACGCTCCCGTTAGCGAAGAGGTGGTCGGAGCAGACGCGGATGGAGTTGGGTTGCCGAGTGCTTCCAGAGGCGCCAATCGGCCTTGTACAATCTTCACAATATCTTCCGCGGTGTAGGCTGGGACGTCCAGTGTAAGAAAGTCGTTTGTGTTTAGTTTTGTTGGTTGAGATCCGGATGCCCCAAGTGTGAGAGTGTTGGAAATGCCGATGATACGTAAAGCTGAAGGCGCAGCAGTTGCTACTGCAAAGATGGAGGAGAGTGCAGAGGGGGACTGTAGAATAAAGTCGAGCTCGTCGAGAACAACAATACTATCGGGGTGTAAGAATCTGCTAGGACAATAATGTTGAATAAACTTACCATTTGACACCCTTCGTCTTCAAGGCGGTTTCAAACCGCTTCTTCTCCGAGCCCGCGCTAGCCTTTCCTTTGGGAGCGCCGAAATTACCCTCCTCCAAAACCCGAGCCCAGACCGAGTTTTCTTCTTTCAGACCAGTACAGTTGACGTAGACCCCACGCAAACCATCCACAGTGATTGTGCGCAAGACCTCGCTAACCAGTGCTGTTTTGCCTGTCCCAGGAGCACCAGAAATGTATGCAGCGCAGTGAAGAGCTTGACCATCGGACTGGCCAACAGAGCCCCCAGCCACAAATGACGATAAAAAGTCGGTCAGGATGGCCCGCTCTTTCTCTCGCCCGATTACTTCACTGGGGCCAGGTCGAAGAAGTGCGCGAGCTCTAGCATGAAGAGACAAGGTTGTTGTAGGCGGCGTCGCAGGAGGTGTGAGCTGCAGCTTTGATACAAGAGAAGGCAGGCGAGGGGTAGCTTGTGCAGATTTTTTCGTAGGAGACCCTCTCGACTTGAGGAACGCTTTAGAGGGCGTTCTAATAGGCGAAGGCATTCGAATAGACTTGGGTTTAGATTTGACTGGAGGTATAAAACTTGAACAACAGGTATCAGGCGAACGAGAACAGGACAACCCACCAGGTTGTGAAGGAGCATCATTGCCACCTTCTTCACTCGATTCGTCGTCGTCCCCTGCTTCTTCACCGCGCTCGGCTTCTTCTCGAACAATCGCCCGGGCGAGTGTCCTGGATTCGCGGTCGTGGACACCAACCCTGCGAACTGACAAGGGGATGTTCTCTTTGCCGTTCACTAGAGAGCCAATAGAAGTGCGTAGTCGCTTAGAAGGGGGTGACACTATCACAGAGTTCGGAGCACCAGCGATATCTTTGGTAGGGTGGATAGGTGAGGAGGATTGGCCAGCATGTTGCGGCCGCGATCGTTTGCCAAGACGGGTTGCCATAGCTCGCTCGCTTTAGGATGTGTTGTGGAATGTTCAATGTTTTGTTGTACAGAGTGTGAAAAGACAGCGAGCCACCGAGGAAAACCAGAAGCGTGCGTCGGGGGAGGGATCTGGCAGCAACGGTGATGGTCAAGGTGGTGTTTGCAATTGGTCGCTAATAACAAGACGCGCTCTAACTATTTCACGTGACCGCGAGGTGAACTAACAATTCATTATGGGGGTCGGCAACCTCTGAGGAAACGTAAGCGATCAACGTCCATGTGAAATTGCCAAACACATGTCCTAGAATGGCAGTTCAACATGTTTTTTTTCCTAACACTTGTGCGCAGTCACCAAATCACATTTGGGGCTGCAAAACCAGCTAAAAAGTTGTTTATCGTATACGAAGAAGACACTCTTGGTAGGACTTCTTAAAAGCGTCAGTAGTTGCCTCAATACTTGGCGTGGGGTGCTCGTATTTCTGTAACTGGTGATTCGAACAAGATATCCTACCAAGGGTTTATCTACATATATCTCAGAAGTCCTACTGTAATTTCTGCACATTTTATAATGTCCACCCACGCGCACCATACAAGCAACGGTCCACAAGGAGGTCGGCGCTGACATAAGCAACATGTTACCCGCCCTTTCTGGTTCTTCATCTTTTGCGGACACGTACGTTGTCAAAGCCCCTCCAAAACGTGCCATGTGCGATACCGAAGCTCCCACACAACGTCTGTTCGAGTACCAAAGTCACCGCAACGCCTGAAGGACACTAGACCAATGCTTTTGACTAGAAACTCGCTGTATAGGTGTGTTCTGAGGCAAGACCTGCAAGCAACACCAAAAATGTGGTAACGCTAAAATAGGTTTCTATGCAATTATGTGTACTATCAGAGAGATGAAACACAAAGTGGGGATGGTAGGTCTTGATGTAAGCCATCCGTACGCAGTATTGTTGTTATTTACACTTGACCGTGGGTATATGTGGAACAAAAGCTATGGTTCCATTTGAGAAAGAGGCTGCTGAGTATCATTACCTGCACTTGAAGTTGCTAAAGGGCACTTGAATGTGTCCAAGATTGGTAAACGACGCTAGCATTCCAAGGCTTACACAGTTCCTACAGCGGGTTGTGCTTTGGTAAAGTGCTTCAGATTAGTACCTGCTAAAAATGAATAGTTACGTATGTTGAGGTTGAAGGGATCCAGTGGTACCAATAACCTCAAAATGTGTTTAAGACACTAGCGAAAACATATTTCTATAGTACACATCACCTATAGTTCATTCTGCCATGTAAATATTTCTCCGAATACATGAATATACACCCCCTGTGAGCTTGGTGTCCCAATACTTAGTATTGAGAACAGCACACTGCTTCCATTGCGGACACTAGGAGAGCCTTTGTTTGGCCAATCACGTGACCTGGACAGAGTTGTCTGATGGGTTGCCGACCCCCATTCATTACAATACACATCAGCCACCCAATCGTATGTATGCTCTTTCCACCTCATGAGTGGGTCCACTTGGGATCGCGCTTTTCAGCAAACGCAG